TTGACTGACGCTGACTGACTTAATGACTTCTTGACTTTGATATTGTGTTCACTTACAAGACTTTAGAGATATGGCCATAAGCATAAGGATATATTAAGAAAAAAAGAAAAAAAGAGAGTCAGCCTCAGCCCCAAGCACGTGGATGGCTGGGCTGGATAATTGCTAGGACCTAAAGATGTTAACAATCTTTTTTCCTCAGTGAGCTGGGAGCTGTGCATCTCAAACCTTTGGTCAAAGCTGGCCAAGGCTTAACTCCACCTATGAAGAGCTCTTTCAGATCCTATGGGTTATAAATGTTATAAATATCTGTCATCATTTATAGGGGCTGGTTACAAATTATTGTCGGTTAATGTTAAAAAAAAATTGCTGGTCTCAAATGTTTCGTACTGGTATGTGCTGTTCTTGTTTAAAAATTATCATTGGTTAATGTTTTATTTTTTTTTAAAAAAAGAGCCTATCGCTGATCTCAAATGTTTCACACTGGTATAGGATTTTATATGCTGTTCTTGTATGCTGTTCTAGTTTAAAACATAGCCATATATCCCCACTGAGAAAAACCACAAGAAAGACTTTGGTAAGAGTTTTTATGTTGTCTAAAAGCAAGAGAAATTTTTGCTATGTTGTCTAAAAGCAAGGAAAAATTTTGGTTAAAAAATATATAAACAGATGGGCCTTATCTAGGTCCCCATGTATAACTTAAAGCAGGTGGGGAGCAGCTGACAGTCCATCACCACAGGGCTCTGCCATCTATGTTTCTTGAGCATTTAAAGGAGGCTTACAGGCATTATACTCCCCATTGACCCTCAGAGGTTGTCTTGGCAGAAGGAGGTCAATGGTACCTATGGCCTTTATAGGACAGTCAGCATCAGATATTATGGTTAAAAAGAGTTACAGGATTTAATTAAGGAGGCAGAGAAAATGTTTCATAAGCGAAAAACTGAGAAAGAGAGAGAAAGAGGGAGAGAGATGGAGACAGAAGAAAGAGGACTGGAGGGATCATAGACAAAAGGGAATTTTGGCCGCAGTGGTAGGAGAGAAAGGAAAGATAGGAACTAGACAGATAGGGAACCTGGGCAACAGAAGATCAAAGATGAACATGGACAGGCACCCCTTGGACAAAGGACGATGTGCTTATTGCAAAGAAGAAAGGAAGGGACTCTAAGGTACTGGCCCTAGAAGAAGATGATTGGAGGGGACTGGGCTCAGACACCCTCCCCTGCGCCTAGGGTAACCCTGACTATGGAGGGGACCCTTATGGATTTTCTAATGAACATAGGGGCTGAGCACTCTGTGCTATGACAACCATTGGGAAAGCTAAAGAATAGAAAGACTATAGTAATTGGAGCAACTGGACAGAAACAATATCTGTGGACCACCTCACGAACTGTAGATTTGGGGAGAGGACAAGTGACTCATTCCTTCCTGGCTATCCCCGAGCGTCCTATCTCTATTAGAAAGAGACTTGCTAACAAAGCTGAAGGCCCAACTGGGTTTACTCAAACCAGGCTGGAGATGATTAAAGCCTTTTGTTGACTGAACCAGTGACCTTCGCTCCCCCTGCTGTCCTCCATCCCGCTACCCTACTGCCTGAGACTGATGACATCTCGTCTACTCATCAATGCGCTGAGAAGCTGGCACCAGAAATGATCTGAAGGATCAGCCGTGGCCTGAAAGTCCGAGCTGGTGTACGGATGGCAGCTGTTTCATGATCGAAGGTAAGCGGAAGGCGGGGACAGCAGTGGTGGATGGGAAGCAAATGGCCTGGGCATAGCCTCCCTAAAGGACGTTGGCACAAAAAGCCGGACTTGCTGCTTGGATACGAATGACAGAGGGAGAAGTCTCAGCATCTACACTGGCAGCAGGTATGCTTTTGCCACTGCTCATATTCATGGAGCAATATACAGACGAAGAGGACTGTTAACATCTGCAGGAAAAGACATATACTTGTCCAAGACACCAAAAAGCTTGAGATGCTGTGGCTGAAAGAAAATCAGACGACAGACTCTCTGTCTTGGCAGAAGAAGTAGTCAAAAACTGCAAGGACTGTGCTATGATTAATGCAGGACACTCCATATATGCTCCTGGGAAGAGGCTCAGGGGCGGTTGGCCTGGAGCCTACTGGAAAGTATATTTTACAGAAATTAAACCAGCCAGATATGGCAACAAGTACTTATTAGTTTTTATAGATACCTTTTCAGGCTGGATAGAAGTTTTTCCTACCAGGACTGAGACAGCCAATACGGTGGCTAAGAAGATCAAAGAAGAAATCTTCCCAAGGTTTGGGATACCCAAGGTAATTGGGCCTGATAATGGACCTGCATTTGTTGCCCAGGTAAGTCAGGGGCTGGCCGCCCAATTGGGGATTGATTGGAAATTACATTATGCTTACCAACCCCAGAGTCAGGACAGGTAGAAAGGACAAATAGAATTCTAAAAGAGACCTGCGGAAATGACTGGACAGCCCTCCTTCCCTTTTGCCCTGTTCCAGGTTTGGAATACCCCAGGGCGATTTAAACTCATCCCTTATGAGATCCTATGTAGAGAACCACCACTGCTCACTGGGTCGGATAAAATGTATAATCCTGATGTTATTCTTTCTAGACCTTTATTTTCCCCGTCTAAAGGCCCTTGAAATGGAGAGACACCAGATCTGAAAACCACTGAAAGAAGTACGCGTCTCTGCCTGGATCCACACCTCCCACATGAAGCGAGCTCCTGAACTACCCAAACTACAGTATCCGAGGCTTTTGACAACGCTACCAGTCAAAAGACTTGGGTTTAGGGGATTAATCATAGACGGACTCTTACTGAGGTTATGTAATGAGACTCTAAGGGCCCTAAGACTCCTGACACCTGGTACTTGGTTCCTGGTTTAGATAGATGATGGGTTTATAGTACAGGTTTGATGCCTTGCATGTCAATGTTAATTTTTGATGATACCAAAGATTACTGTGTGTTTGCACAACTGGTATGAATTTGATAGAGAACCCATTTCTCTGACACTAGCAGTAATCCTGGGCCTTAGAGAAGCTGCCGATGTTGGGGCAGGTACTGCTGCCCTAATACAGGCCCCTCAGTACTTCAATGTATTAAGATTTGAGGGCTTTAGAACAATCTGGTTCCAAACTCGAAGAGTCATTGACTTCCCTCTCAAAATGGTCTTACAGAAGGGGTTTAGAATTGTTATTCTTAAAGGATGGAGGATTATGCGAATAGATCTCCCTGGATGACTACTTTGATATCCTCCCTTATGGGACCACTCCTAATTTTGCTTCTGCTACTGATGTTACCTTTATTAGAAAAAGAACAAGTGCTGTTCAGATTTTGATGTTACACCCCCAATACAATGCTTTAAGGTCAAGAAGATACTGAAATCTAGTTCTATGATTAGAACTAGGCACTAGAAAAAAAATGGGGGAATGAAGGACCCCAACTTCATTGGGGTCACAGTTAAAACTGTGGTTTTAACTTTAACCACAGTTATAATGCTCTGCAAAGGTTTTCAGATAGCAAGCTTCATTAAAGGCCGGGATGCTGAGCAAAGACACCTGAGCAAAGACAGCCTTATCTGGCTGTGAGACAGGAGATTTATGGATTGGTCATAGGAACAAAGAAAGAGAAGATTGCGAGGCCTGAGTCACGTAGAAAGCGAGGCTCGTCACGAGTTAGGGGCTGTGCGATCAGACATCTAGTCGCCAGCCAAGCTAGGAAGGCAGGAAGAGATAAGAAAAACAGGTAGGACAACCCCCTCTTTGGTATTTAGGTAAAAGGTCAGGAATGTGCCACTCAGCTTAGCCTTATTTGAACTGACCAATGAAATGAAAGCTTTTCTGCTTCTGTACCCGCGCTTTTGCTCCCCTATAAAAACCCCTCATCCCCAACCTGCAGGCGCGCAAGCTCTTCGAGAGACTTGTCGCCCAGGTACCTGCGTATCCACCAATAAACCTTCTGCTGTTTGCATCCGGCTGCGTGTTTTCGACTGGTCTCTGGGCACGGGGTCCTTTCCGAGGGAAGACGCCCACGAGGGAGCCTTTCAGGGAGGGTTGATGGAAGGGGAGAGGGTTAGAGAGAAGGGAGTAGGGGAGGAATGGGGAAAGCTCGGTGGCCTGGGATGGGGGGGGAGGGAGGAAGGATGAATATGGGATCAGGGAAGAATATATTTCAACTAAGGGAGTCATTTTAGGGTTTACAGGAGACTTGATTATATATGGGATCCCAGGTCCAAGGAGAGATCCCCCAGATTGTTCTCTGGACAGAGGAGAGGGTGCCTGAACCGGCCATGGCCCATAACCATACTGATGTATATTTTGCTTATCACCATAGATCCTTCATCTGGCGAAGGACGGCGATACAGGCGGAGACCCACATTGGAGCACCGGACTGAGCTCCCCAAGGTCCAAATGAGGAGCAGAAAGAGGAAGAACATGAAAAAGGAAATCAGGACTGCGAGGGATGCTATCACCCACTGATACAAGGGAACGGATCTAATGAGAGTTTACCAAGGCCAGTTGGACTGGGACTGAACGAGGACGTGATCTAACCAGATTCTCGGAATTTGGCCGGATTCTCTGAATGTGGCTGGCCCGAAGTCTTTCTGAAAAGCCATTGACTATGATAATGGGACTTGTTTCCTCTGCATATACTGGATTTTGGGGATCCAGTCTGTTTGGATACTCACCTTCCTGGACCTGGAGGGAGGGGGGAGGAACTTGAACTTCCCACAGGGCAGGAAACCCTGACTGCCCTAAGGGACGAAGAGGGAGGAGGAGAGGGAGTGGGGGGAGTGGGAGGGTGTTGGGAAGAGGGGCGGAAATGGAAACTTTTAGAATTTAATAAAATTTACTTTCAAAAAAAAAAAAAGATTCCTAGCATTAGAGGAGATGTAGCCTGCACTAGCCATCTCCTGTTTCCAGGCAAGGCTTCAAGTGCGGGGAGTGGAAAACCAACCCAGCCACATAACCTTGACTGACAGTCTGTCTGGCCTGTGAGATATGCTGGCCTAGAGATTGAGGGAGTGGCCAGCCAATGACTTGTCTAGCCTAAAACCCATGCGAGGAGAGTAAGTTCATCCCTGATATTGTCTAGAGCACCAAGACCCACAGGCTGGATAACTCAGAGTCCTAGGATGGAACCAAACATGACTGGAGGGAAAAAAAAAGAGTCAATGTAATGGTACTTAAGAATATTCTGCTATACTCATATATTGGTGCCCAATTGTATTCAGAGAGACTTCATCCAGCAACTGATGGAAACACATGCAGACCCATAGCCAAACATTAAACATGGATCAACTAATCCTGCAGAAGACAGGGAGAAAGGATTATAGGAGTCAGAGGGATCAAGAATGACAGGAGAAAATTCACAGAATCAACTAACCTGGGCTCTCAGAGGCTGAACCGACAACCAGGGAACCTACATGGGACCGACCTACACCCTATGTATAAATGTTATAGCTGTGTAGCTTGGCTCTCTTGTGGGATGCCTAACATTGGAAGCAGGGGCTTTTTCTGACTGTTTCACTGGCTTTTGGGACCATACTCCTCATATCGGGCACTTTGTCCAGCCTTTAACACACAGGAAGGTTCTTAGTCTTATTGAAAATTGATATGTCATGTTTTGATGATATCCATGGGAGACGTGCCTTTCATGAACAGAAACTAGAGATTGAGGAGGAGTGGGTTGGGGGGGTGGAAGCACAGGGTTGTTAGGGGAGGGATTGGGAGGAGAGGAGGCAGGCAGGGGAAACTGTGGCAGGGATGAAAAACAAATAAATTTAAAAATAATTACACAAAGTGATCACTTTGCTGAAAATAGAATTTTATAGGGTAAAAATGTTAAGATACATGAAAATGCTAGTGCATAAATCAGGAAAAATAAAACTGGAGTTAATGCATCACTGCTTAATCGTTTATTTGTTATTCAAAGGGGAAGGAGGGACTATTATGTCTAATTTTCTGTAAAATAGCCAAGCAATATTTTCTAGGTTATCTGATGAAAACCAGAAATTTTACAGAAAACACATTTTTACCCATGTTAATCTTTACCTCCTGCTGTTCTGAAATGAAGAGATCTTGAAATTATGTGACAAAACTTTCTCAGGAAACTTAACACATACAGTATCATTTTACCTCCCCTAAAATAAAAGTCTGCCTTTGTTTTAACACTTCGAACTCTCTGCATTTTTCAGTTGGGCCCTCATCCAGTCCCTTCTGTTCTTTCACTGTTGATGTTTTGCAGGACATTTATGTGAAATATTTTTTCATTCACAAACTTAGTTTGTATTGTACATCTTCCATGAAAGGCCCACCTACTCTGTGCGTGTGTTGGGAGGATCTTCCTAGCGTGTAAGTCTATTTCCAGAATTCTCTCATATGTTTTGACATTTTGTTGTTTTGTCACGTAACCTACAATGGCACTGTGAGGAGCAGACCATCAGATGCAGCAGGTGTAGAACTGACCTGATGCTCCTCAGCCTTGGCTCTATTAAATCAGCTTTCTCATTCCCAGCTGAGCTCTCTACCTCAGAAAAGCTAATGTTTCCACTTTCCAGTGAGCAGAAAACATATTTTCAGTTCAAGTTAGGGGAGGACTTAAAAGAAGGTATCTGCATAGACAGAAAACATATTCTTCTAAAAATGTGTGGAATATCCTTGAATTTCAGGAAAGGCAATGCAAGTGAGCAGGGGCTGGGAGGAACCTGTTGTCTGGTTCAGGAAACTGTGGACTAAGGTTTCTGTGTTCTGGGAAATCCATCCATGTTATAATAGCAACATATGTTCAACTTCTCATGTGGGCAACCAATTCGATGAAATTATAACTACAAACCTTTAATCTTATAGTATTCAAGAGAGAAATTTTTCTTAACAAAATAGTAAGAGGTGACATAGATTTTAAATGAGTAAATATGTGTTTCAATCAATCAGTCTCTGGAAAGGAACACAGTGGCCTGACAGGTGGGACAAGGAAAAGAACCCTGGGGGATCCAGGCAGCAGTAAGAACTGAAGACTTAATTATCTGGGAATAGAAGAGCCCTACACCTCCCTTAGTGTTTATATAGTCCCTAATTTAAATGAACATGAAGACAAGAAACCTTTGAAGGCAGTGAAACAATGGGTAATTATGTTTACTTTTTCATGTTTATGTCAGATTTGTTAATGGTTTGTTTAACATTTATCTGGAGTTTCCTCAGAAAACAAATGCTTTGAGCCACTGTCTTCACCTGTGTATTGGAACTACATGACTAATTTGCACTTATACAATGTTTCCTCATATTCATGCAGTTAAACTAGGAACTTTAAATAAGTCCAAAGTGATTTTTGAAATAGCTATAGCATCCTTCTTGAGAATCACAAATAAATTTTGTCTCCTATTTCCATTTTAAATTCTTCTGCCAAAAATGGCAAAGCAAGTATGGTGGATTAAAACATAGGCAAGCCACATAGGTGAGCAAAAGTCATTGTAGCTAGTCTTATAAAAAGCTATAGGACTGTCACTTGATATTATGGACCTGCATTTATGGGACTCCATTGTAAATAAGTAGACTATGAAGGTGAGTTATCATATATTGTTCAATAAAGAAGTTACACAAAAATCTCAATAGTTGACTAAGAGAGATTACAAGGGCAGTGGATGTTTCCAGGCCTCAAATTCTAATCCAAAGGCTCATATTGATTTTTTTTTTTTTACAAAATATTAGTCATTGCGAGCAGTGAGAAAGGTGCTGTCAAAGAAAGGCCAGCAGCAGATTCTAAGAGTCCCAGCACACTGTTGGCCTCGCCTCCTTTCCCTAATCTGTGCTGCACAAGTCCAGCCTTTGTCAGGCCTCCTATTTGCGACTTCATTCATCACAACCTTTCAGTCTTCACAGTGAGTCTGAACAGGGTCAGGGAAGGTTTCATTTTCGCTCAGTTCTTTTTGTGATCAGGAAATAGCTTTAAAGGTTTGTCAGATTCAGTTTCTTATTCGAGAATCAGCCTTCAAAACATTTACTGCTTAAAAAGGGAAATATTGACTTCTTCCAGTTCTTAGCACACCTTCACAAACAGAAAACACATGAGGAAATTCTTCACACAGTGCTTAAATAGTCTAGAAACTATATATAACTTTCATTCATAGCACACATAATTTATATAGCACACATCATTAAATAGCTGTCAATATCAGAAATTAGGTTATACTTGTAAACAGCTTTTAATTAAATATAATTCACTTATTTTTGTCTCTAATAAAGAAACACCACCATACTATGTATGATGGGCCAAGTTTCAGTCATTGACTGATGAGTTACAGTTACATGGTAAGTTCACAAAGTGTTTGTAAAAGCTCTGAGTCTCAGGGAAATGTCAAATTAGATTAGAAAGGAAGTCTAGTGAAGCTACGCCTAGCGGAATTCAAT